TGATCAAAGAATCTTCCCAATGAAAAATAATGAAACATTTCTTTCTCTTTTCCAATGCTTTCATGCTTATGCTTTACCATTTTTGCCTCTTTTTGTGTCCTGTTAACCTCTTTGGACTGACTTGTATATGAATGATGCTGTTAAAATAAACCTGCTTTACTCTATAGTGATGTAGAGGTTTAACCATGACAACATTTAGCTTGTAATTAGATAGTTTGAAACGTGTTTTTAATGAGTTTTTAATCAGTTGGTTCATTAACAGTTTCAAGAGTTTTCTTGTTTTCAGTGAATCTGCATCATGACATTAACTTTAGGTTTAAAACCATAACAGTAACACTGTGAATTAATGTGGACATTGTGTAAGTATTTAGAGAAATAGATTTGTTCTCAATAAACATTACTTAAGTTTTTATATAGATAGATTACAAATGCTCCAATCAATAAATCATTTACATTTTATCTACTTTTTAAAATATTTTTTGTGCAAATGTCTTGTAAAACATAGAGGATGGAGAGGATCAGTTCTTTCAGCTAAATATTAAATTCTTTAAGAAGAACTGTTATTGATGTTGATTTTTATATTTTTAGTCACCTTACCTCCACGCACTGGCGCAGGTTCTTCTACACCTGTTGCCACCTTACCTCCACTCACTGGCGCAGATCCTTCTACACCTGTTGCTATCTCTCCTCCAAGCACCGTGGCAGCACCAACTGCTGCAACCTCCAAACTTCCCCCCTCTAACAAACCCACACCCACCTCTCTATCCACCACCTTAAAACCTTCAAGCTCTTCAATAAAAACAGCTGGTAATGTATTCAGCTTTATTTTATAGTTTTGGGAAAGTTGTGTTACTTTTTGAATGATAAAATTAGTTGTTCTTTAAGAATCGTAGAAGGTAAGAATCTTGGTAGTGGATTTCTTCAGCCTGATGGTGACCTCCGCATGCTCTCAAACCTGCAGTCAATACCTCACATCCAAGCACCCAAAATGATACTTCAACCAACAACCAGTCAACCAATCAAACCACCTTACCTGCAAGCATCTCAAATGAGAATTCAACCAACAACCAGTCATCCAATCAGCCAACCACCTCACCTCAGCCAAACACAACCATGGCTGCCACCACAGGTTGGAACTTTAAATATTTAATTTGGGACTTTAACAAGTTTTTAAGGATTAGACTTTAGATTACAGACTGTAGGTCTGCCAAGATTCAGTCAACAGAGATCAGGTAACTGTAAATTTAAGACGGTTTGAGAATGTGTTTCAGTTTTTAACTTTTTTCATGTTTCCCTCTTGTTTTTTTTTTTGTTTTGTTTTTTCAGCTGAACCCAGCACGAATCTAAAGTGTGAGTATCAAATTTGAAGTTATGAACACATGTTTATTAAAGGTGATCTTTTTTTTTAGATTGTCTAATAACAAAATAATTGTTTTGTGTTTTAATTTCATTCTAACAATTGGAAATAAAAACTTGAAGTTTGGTTTTATTTCAGCTCAAATGTAAATCTGTTGCTTTGCAGGTTCCTACAGTGTTGAGAAGATCAAGTTTGGTCTAAAGATAAAGATGACAGATTCTACTCCTGGTTACTACACCATATATGTTGCTGAGAATGAAGGTTCATTTGAAAGGAAAGGCAATTTTTCCTTCCCCAGTAAAAACTCAAATTATGACATCAAACCTCTGAAGCCGTGCACCGAATATGAGCTAAAAGTCACATTTATCGACTCCAATGGTGCAGAAAAACCCTGTAACAAAGCTGAAGATAAAACAACAACTGGAATGAGTGAGTAAAATGTTTCATATTTTATCTTTACTTTATTATTGACTGAAATGAGATTCTGTGTAGAACTGAGACAAATATTGTTTCTGTGTTTCAGCTGAACAAGAAATTAAAAACATTTCCTGCCCTCCTGGATATTTCTGTTACCAAAGTGGTTGGAACATCAGCTCTTTATTATCAGAAAACAAGAAGGTTTCAATTGAAGACTTCAACAATGGATCGTATCGTTTCAAACATGCTTATGACGAAATGTGTTCAGATTTAGTTTTGGAGTTTCCTCCAGAAAGCTGCTCAGATGTCACCTTTACCGTGTCTGAAAACTTCACTGTTGGTAGGAACAAAAACATATTAATAATAATTAATATGATTATCAAATCTGTGGATATAATATTAGTTACATTAAATTGTTTTTTCTTTTTTCATTCTTTAGATTTTATTGATCCAAATGACATAAAACAGACTGGACCTACTAAACTTCCTGCAGAGATAAAACCAGAGTTACCTTCAAGCTGTAAAGATCTCAGTGTTGAGTATAAATGTTCAGGTGAGTAAAAACTACAGCTGTGAAAAACAATTAAAATATTTAAATATTTAGAGGAGAAAACTACAGATTCTGCCTTAACAATACATGATAGATATTTTCCAAAATGTTTTAACACTTTTTCTTTGTAAATTGTGTCAAAATGTAAAGAATAAAGCAGCTCATTGGTGTTAATATATAGACATCAGTCACTGCAGAAATGACTAAATGTTTGTGTCTCTTCAGGAATCAACAATGACTCTGTTGAACTTTCTGACATGAAGCCGTTCACAAGCTACAGCTGTACTGGTGACATCAAGATGAACAATGTCTCCATAAATAAGATGACTGAACCTGTCCAGTTCAACATCTACTGTGGTGAGTTGGTATTTACTGCATCTCACTGGAAAAAAGTTATTATATAAGAGAGAAAAACAATATCAGGAACTTGATTAATT